GTGCAATGCCGAAAAAAAAAAGTCAGCAGCTCTTCACTCGACGTTTATCCACAAACTGGTCCTGGATTAAGCTCCAAAATTTTGTCTCAATGTCTGTTTTATCCCTTTTTATGAGTTTTTGGCCATTGACTATCTTTTAATCGCTGCTTCCTGGTACACCAGTCTGGAAGTGATCGCTTTTTCCTTTTTTCTTTTTTTTCCTTCYTTTTTTGAAGCGAGTGGTTGAAGCAAATGGAGCATAAGAGTCCCCTGGTGGCTGAAGAAAAAAATCCACGTATAAGCCGCACTGGACTATAAACCGCATGGTTTAAAGTTCAGGGAAAAAGTCGCGGCTTATAGTCCGAAAAATACGGTAAATGAAATGTCGCGATATTTCAGTGTATCGATATTTTCTTACAACCCTACCAACAGTCAGTCCTTTTTAGAGCAGCCCAATCTAAATTAAAACTCAGTGGGGATCGAGCCCACAGGGTCTGGACCCACCTACCCCTGCAGAATCAATACAGTCTTTTAAATCTCACCTGAAAACTCCCTTTTTTACCCTTTTAATTTGAGTTCAGTTTGAGTTCCATCATTATTCTGAGCTTGTGAGGTTTTCTCATTTTAGTTTGCTTTTAACCTATTTTGTGATTTGCTACATTTAATTTATTAATGGTTCTTCCTGCAGGGTTTCCACGCATCTTTAAAAAGTCAAAAATAAGGCCTTAATTAGCATTAAAATATCTTAAATCAATCTTTTAGAGGTCTTAAAAATGGTAACACATTGTAAGTAGGATGATTGTAAATCGTCAGAAATATTAAAATTATTGGTTTCATTTATTTATTATTTTAAATTCTGAATGCCTCTCAGCTCAGTGTTTTGTGTTAAAATAAATGTTTGGGTAAAATTGTCGCTAACAGTTTTTTTCCCCATTTGAGTTGGTCTTCAGTTTCATTTCAAGTGGCATTAAAAAGGTCTTAAAAAGTCTTAAATTGATCTTGTCTTAAGCTGTAGGAACCCTGTGCTGTCCTGTTTGTTCTTGACCTCATGAACCACTCTGTTATTGTGTTTAAATGAGCAATATAAATAAATTTGACATTGACGTTTTCCAGAAAATTTTCCAAGGAAAAGACATCAGAGAACAGCTCCCTCATGAGTGGAATGAGTTCGAAGGTGTTAGCGCCAATTGGAAAACCATAATGGGCCATCTCCACAAGAACAACAACGCGTTGACAGGGACACAACATCCTGGTACCGCAACATATTTCATATTTCCTAAATCCACTCAAAACTTCAGTTCCCATTTGGCATTTTCAGACAACAAAATGTTTACGTGTTGCCTTGTTTATTAACTGGAATGTAAAAAAAACCCTAAACAGCTAACTTTTTAATAATCTAAACTGGTAGGTCACAAATGTATATGTTTGTGTACACACCTTTACCTCTCAGCTCTGTATTTCAGGCATGTTAGAGGGTCTGTCAGAAATGAACAACAAGCTTGAAGAAATCCTTGGACATGTATCTGGAGACCAAGAGGCAGATCTTCCCGAGATTCTATTTCCTGTCTAATAATGACATGCTGGAGATCCCGGGACAGTCCCAGAACCCAAGCCCTATGCAGCCCTACATGAAGAAATGTTTTGACAATATCAAGAGCATAAAGCTTGAAAAGGCAAGGAAACCTGGATAAACAATCAGCTCATTTAGGTGCTTTTAGCTACAATTAGATGATGAAATAATCTGAAAACAAGCAGTCATTTAGAATTACATTTCTGACCTAATCTTATTTGTGTGTTTAAGATGTAAGTTAAATTTCTGTCTAAAATAATCCTTTAAAGCTCTGTTTATAAACAAAGCAAGATTGAGGTGATTCTGTGAACCTCCTCCTGCTTCTGTCCCGTCCCCTCACCGTCACCACCCGTTGGGGGGGGGGKGGTTCCTCAGCTTAGCCGGTTAGTCTTTGAGCTAGCGCCGACGCCATATTGCCTTATACTGTATGTATTAACTCAGCGCTAGCATGATAAACAAGCTAAACTGAGGTCCTCCATCCATATTTTCARTTGCAGGCTGAGTCMTTTTTGTGTTCCCCTCTCTGTCATGTGGATGGAGGACCTCAGTGACDAGAGGAGAATGTGTAGCGCTGAGCTAATACATATATATGGTGATAACGTTGAGGCTAAAGCTAAAGCTAACAGACTAAGCTGAGGTTCTTCTTCCATGAAGCAGCTCTGTTGTCCTCCATCYATATTTTCAGTTVCAGGCTGAGTCATTTCTACCTTCTCCTCTCTGTCAACGCTCTCTGGTTTCATTTAAAAGAGTCAATCATCAGATATTGTCCAAGATTAACCTTCAGGGTGGATATAGCTCACTAGCAGCCTCGCACCGAGGACCTATCCATGTCATCATTTACCCAGAAAGCTTTGCTTGTAAATAAAATGGCCCCATCCGTGTAATATATTTTTAAACTTTTATTTTAAAAATGATAAAAACTCAACATCCTACAGTATTTTTACAGTCTTTATTTTACAGTTAAAATATATGTTTATTAAATAAAGTCTAATGTTACAACTAATCATGGATCCCTTTAAAATGAACAGTTCTACGAAATATAAAGAATAGGCCTTTAGAAGTCAGCGAACAAAACTTTGATTTCTCTTCTTCAGTTGATTTTTCAAAGGACTGATTATTTGATGGTGCAAGTGTTTAGAAAATTAAAGTTGAAAGCTTATTCTGAAGAAAACTACTGTTAGTTTCTTACCCCACTGCAACTCAGTGACATTCTGTGGTATGTAGAGCGCATGGGTGTAAAATGTATGAATATGTAAACTCTTCAAAGTGTTTTATGGTAATCATATTTGTATATGCATCATTGTTTTTTCACCCACTGGATTCAGCTATATTTATTATAAATTTGTTGTATTTTTTTTTCAGGACACAGTTTATGAGTATTATGTGGACCATAAAACCAATCCTGGATTTCCTTTGAAGATCAGCTGCCAAAAGGCTGGCACTACAGCACTACGTGAGTCACCAGGGCTCCTCATTGTCCAAGTGTAGCAGGTAGAGTACCATCGATGATTGAAATAGTGACTGAAAAACGAGTTTTTGGTCCTTTTGGGGCTAGACTGGTGGTCATCTGGGTTGAAACACTGGTCAGTGCACCAAAGCTGAGGTAGGGAGGGAGGTAGGTACTTTATTAATCTCAAGGGAAACTCAAGACTAGAGTTATCTCTTTGTAAAATCTGCATAATGTTTCAAATAAAATCAGATGAAGCAGATAGAAGAATCTACAAAAAGGAAACTGGATTTTCTGCTTGCTGCACATTGTACTGCTCAGGTTTCTTTCTTTTTTTTTTTCAGTTTTAATTGTGCCAGCTGCCACTTAAACTAGTGAAACATTCAGCTGGTGCTCTTTTATTTTTTGAGGAAAAAAGAATGTTAAAAAGCTTTAGCCTTGTTTGTAATGAAATGCTGTAATTATGATTATTTTTTTCTGTTGGGTTCTAATTTTAATTTTAAAAACATCTCTATCCAAAAGCCCAAACGAGTAACATTTATAGAAATTGTACATTTCTAGTGGCAAACAGAAACTCTGTAACCTACTGTTTTAGTCTTTTGCATTAACAGTGTTTTAAAATGAACTTTCCGTTCAGCCAGAAATTATATTAGAAAATACTTTGAATGTTGGTAATTATACTTCTCAAAGAGAAGTCAGTTGACTAAATATGTATAGGCAGAACAAATATTAAAAAAAAACTGGACATTGGAGCCAGCTAAATTATAGTGAATAGTTCATAATTGATCTGTTATTGGTGTGTTTTTCACAGCTTTAATTGTTTAACTTTACTTTTCTGGTGACAGAATTCACTTTATGTAACACTTACATTGTTTCTACTGTATATCTCTTTCCTGCAGACTTCCATTCTATGAGATTATGGTTCCCACTGTGGACACAGTTCGCTACAACTTGTTGATGAAAGCTCTGGTGTTGAATCAGTACCAGGTGTTGCTCACTGGACCGGTGGGAACTGGTAAAACCTCCGTGGCCCAGAGTGTCCTGCAGGGGCTGGATAACAAGTGGGCTGCCCTCACTATCAATATGTCTTCACAGGTCGATGTCTACTGGTTCTTTAAAAATACAGTTGAGCTCTGTGTGGTATTTTCTGCATAGAAACAGTGTTTTAAAACATCATCTTATAAACACTGAAAAGTACCACATGTGCAAATGTCTAAATGTGAAATAAATACAGAAACACTTTTAAAAGTAAAACAGTTTTATTCATTGTTAGTTTGTGGTGAGTAGCTGCTGTCTTGAATTCTGAACTCCCACTTTCTGACAGGGAATTCCCACTGGAATGGTGTTCCTGTTTAAATATACCACTTGTAAGTGAGAAATTCCCACTTCCCAGTACAACTAAGCCGTAGCAAATTAGCTGGCGAAAATACCCCTAAATGAGATTTTACGCAACAAATTTTGCTGGCTCCTTTCCCTGTGCACCTCCCCCTAGTGGTGAGTTGCCGTCATTGCGAGTAAAATAATCAACATGCATTATGGGAGATGTAGTTTATGCTCAATGCTGGCTTTAAAGCAGCTTATTTTGAGACATTAATACAGAGCTATTCAACTAAATCACTCAGGGGGTCACAGTTAGTCAAAGGCAACAGCTCAGGGGCCTGGCAAGGATTACTGTCCTTTCGCTTTTAAATCTGTTCATTTTGATGCTTTGAATAATAAATTTAACATTTACAATTGATTTAAAAGCTAGTTTTTATTTTTAAATATTGGAAGCCAGTGGTAAGTTACCTATGGGCCACATTTGGCCCTCAGGCCTTGAGTTTGACACATACACTGCAGAGAATCAGTGTGCAGTGAGACACTTTTGCATTTGTGTCATAATTCATGCAAACTGATGTCTTAATAACAATGTCTTAATCTTGACCACCCATCTGTGATGGAAAAGACTTTTATTAGTGTTCTTGTAAAAGCTGTCGTCATCAAATATAGAAGGGTTGCTGCTTCATAACAGCTAAATGGTTTAATTGGGTTTAATTCAAACAGCTTGCATCTCTGTTAGACTCATGTAATTGTTTTGCTGTGAAGTAGGATTTGTGACCGCAGCGCTTGCAGAACTCAACAACTGCACGGGCCGCAGTAACCCACACATCACCTCTAGATGCTATGATGCTGATCCACACTCAATTACAGCACGAGATGCTCCACATGCACTCCCTTAGAGATGACTGATGGCAGGCATTAAGCGTACTCATGCATGTGTTTTGTGTGTGTACGAGTGGATCTGCCTCCATCCCTCCACGCTGTTGTAAATGGTTCCATCTCAACAGCGCCACAATTTCAGTAAAAGTCAAATGTTGCACCAAAGTTCCCACTGTTTGGCACAATATTGCGAGACAGCTCCAATGAAGGGCTGGAAAAGAGCCCGAGAGGATGGAGGTACTTGTAACCACCGCACACTTTTAAAGCTATTATCTCTTTTTCACATCCATCCGTGTTTTCCACCAGAGCTTTACTGCTCTGTAGGGAACCATTTTAACGTCACGTCCCTGCTTTATTTTACACTATAGAGAACAAACCCTGCTTGTTGTCACAATTTACAAAAATAAAACTTTTTAAAGGGATCCACGATTAGTTGTAACATTAAACTTTATTTGACAAACATTTATTTTAACTGTAAAATAAAGACTGTAAAAATACTTTAGGATATTTAGATTTGTAAATTTTTTAAAATATATTTTAACACGGACGGAGCTATTTTATTTACACGCAAAGCATTCTAGGTAAATGATGACATCAACTAGGTCATCAGTGCGAGGCTGCTGG